GGCCAGTCCGAGGAGGTCTGCCTCAGGCGGCTCTGGCCAATAGCGGCTGGGTGGTTTGGATGGCCTGGCCAGCTTCTTCTGGCCTGCTCCTGCCCTGCCTGCCTCTTCACTCCTGCTGCTAAACCTTACTCTGTCTCTTCTTACACACGCAGAACCAAACCCAAGGCGGCAAGGTTTGAGCAATTTTTAAATTCCTTAACATACCTTCTAAGACAGTTGAGTTTGAGGAGGAGCTATTACCCATGTTGCAGGGAGGGACCGGATTGCCTCCTCTTTAAAAAATACCTGAATAAAAAAAAAAAACCTGAATAAAAGAACTAATCAAAATAAGGCTTATTTTCTAACTTCATTTGTCCTTGGGTGTGGACAGCAAATGACACTAATCAGATTGACATAAACTGAGTGAGGGACCTGATTTGCAAATAGCAGTTAGCAGAAGCAGCATGTTACCTAATTTATAGTCTTCGTTCTCAGGGTCATGAATTGACAGAAACACGTTATCTAGAGCCCTCGGGTCTGCAACGAGGAACCTGGTCTGCAAAAAAGCGGTTTACAGAGAGGGGCTCCGTCTGGGAAGAAGATGGCAGACGATCAAAACTCTGTCGATCAAAACTCTGTCAGGGACCAGGGAGCTGGGGAGTCAGCAAGCGAAGATGCAATTGATGCTAAGCCAGATCGGTCCACCGTTAGGTCCTTAATCCAGAGTATGAAGAAGAAAAATGACTCTGGGAAATCCAAGACCACCCAGGAGCAAGAGCCTACATATCAGTATAGCATGAATTTCAAGAAGGTGGGCAAATGCATCATAATAAACAACAAGAACTTCGACGAATCGACAGAAATGTCCGTCCGGACCGGAACGGACAGAGATGCCGGGTCCCTTTTCAAGACCTTCGGAGACCTGGGTTTCGACGTGGAGGTGTATAACAACTACTCTTGTGACCAGATGTATGATGTGCTGAAAAAAGCCTCTGAGGAGGACCACAGTAATGCAGCCTGCTTCGCCTGCGTCTTGTTGAGCCACGGAGAAGAAAACTCGATTTACGGAACAGATGGCAAGATGGACATCAAGGCCTTGACGAGCCTTTTTCGGGGGGACAGATGCAGAACCCTTTTAGGGAAACCCAAGCTCTTCTTCATCCAGGCATGCCGTGGGACAGAGTTCGATGACGGGATCCAGGCCGACTCAGGGCCTA